TAAAATAACCTCCCTACACACCAATCAATAAGTCTGATGATAATAACCACCCTGTTACTGACAGCTACGACCGCTCCGGAGCTGCTGATCTATGAGCATCCATCTCAGCTTCACACTTTCACCCTCGTCTGTCTTCATTAGAGCTCTCAGAGTATCGTCACTGCTCAGGAGAAAAGCTAAAAGTTGATTAGCCGACCATATAACGACTACCAGCCAGCACTGGAACAAATGACAGGTCTGGGAAATACCTCACTTTGCTGTTTCCTCTGGGGAGTCTGAACGGATGGATTTCCCCCTCCTGACTCGTTCTACTTCCTCTTTAAAAATGTCTTATTTCTCTCTCCTTTCTTCTTACTCAACTTCTTTTGTCTGCAGACTCTTTATACTTATTTCTTTGTTTGGTTTTTTATTTATTAGTCACAGAAAAACTATGCAATATTTACAATTTTCGGGATTTCAGTGTCGGTTTGTCAGTCCACAGCTTTGGTCCAGACTGGATTATGTCCATATTTGTTTGATGGATAGCTGTGGAATTTGGTACAGATATTCATGGTTCCCAGAAAATACAGTAAATCCTGATGACTTTATTGATCCTCTTACTTTTCCTGTAGCGCCACCAGCAGGTCAAATTTTTCACTTATCTTGTGAAATATCGCTACATCTACTGGATGGTATGGCATGAAATTTGGTACTGAAATTCATGACAAAAGATTAATTCCAATTACTTTGGTGATTCTCCGACTTGTAGCAGCATTATCAGGTCATAATCTAAATTTGTCCAACACTGTCCAGAAGGGCTGGGTATCATTTATTGAGATGGTTTAATGATGTTTGATGTTAGCTACTGCTGCATTAGCTTATGCTAATAGTGCAGATGCTAAACTGAGGAAAAGGGAAGTTTCGGAGATGGCTGCAACAGAGAGTTTGCTGATCATGCAGGGAGTCAGGACAATCCGAAATCAGTCTGCGGCACAAAAAGGATCGAATGCAGGTATGATTTGACTTGAGACGATTCTATACTAGTTGGTACTGGATTACGCCTGTCAATACCTTAAATCTATCAAATACCGATACCCACCCATATCATCCAGCACTTAAGTACGATGGGAAACATGTTAAATATGACACAGAACCTGTTTAACACAGCATTCTAGCACAGAGTACAGAGCTGGTGATATGACTGCAGACTATGTGGCTGTCTTGTTTGCTTGTGCAGGGCATCTGCAGAAAAACAGGTCTCTTTTTATAACTTTCTGAATAACCACCAATCTGTAGACCTGTCAATAAAAAGAAGTGCAATTTCACAGACTGTACTGCATCAGGGAGGGTTTCCCAGGGCGCCGGACCAGCTGTCATTACGCACGGCTGAGGTTATCTATAGTGCATTTATTATTTATTCATCACATAGACCTGTAAACCATCACAGGCAGTTTTATCTGAACCATCTTTAAACTTAAGAAAGCTGATCATGATTTAGTTCATAGCATTCATCTTGAAACGGTGCTTCACAATAAGGTAAAAAATAATGCAAATAATGCCATCAGAGTGATAAAACAACGTTTTTAGAATTAAATGTGTCTCAACTAGGCATGTAACAGATCAGTGTAGACTACAATGAATCAGTGAAATTGGATAAGAACCTAAACTAAGATTGTTTTATTTTATTAGATAACAACTCTCACTTTATTTTTCCATCTCCACCTTATGATAATACATGTGGCTGGCTCTATAGAACCATTTGTACATCTGGTCTGAATTATCTTTAAGCTGCACACATTCTTACCCCACATTACCAGTTAACATGCAGGAAATGGTTTATGCGTGATATGTGAACATGCCCATCGTTTATACATCTAGCCCATATGACTGCTGATCCAGAGATTACAAGTAATTCTACTGAATCTGGCTTCAGACATCCTGCTAGTTGGAGGTGACAGCCAAAATACGGAGTGTGAACTGGGTAAATTAGAAAAAAAAAGATGAACAGCTAACACATGGTATTTTCCCACACATGTCTAACTGCAAGAACCCTTCATACAAGGACACCTGACTCATATCTTCATGTATTCTTTATTGTTTGTTTTAGAAATTCCTAGGTGTCACACGGGTGTGGTTTGTAACATACCAATACAGCTTCTGCCGGGAAAATACAACAAGGAAGCTGACATTGCTAAATAAATCATCTGACATCATGTTAATTCCCCAGTTGTACCCCATCCATCTGATACTCCTTACAACAAACACTCCAAACACGATTTGAAGCAGTCGCACACAGTGAAACTTTAAAGGAAATCAATACAGGCCTCTCATTCATTCCTTTTCTGTCAGCCACTGCAGGTGGAGAGACACATAACCCAATAAAGAACTGAGATGGATGAGGTGGACGACCCTGACACCAACAGCACCTCAACTACCTTAAAAAGTAACAGCAAACACCCGTGGACTGCAGTCCCTAGAGGTTTGATTTTGTTTTACACTAAAAACACTCTTGCTTTGGACCACATACCTGATTTAACACAACTAAGACAAAACTTAATTACCATTGACAAAGAAATAACAATTACTATACTAAAATACAACAATTATATATACAAAATAATGCTAAAAAATATAATCTAATTTAAAAACTGAAAGAAAAAGATACCAGAAACATGCAATGTAACATGGGCTCACATTATCAGCCGTTGATAAAACACAAATTTCAATTTACAGATGAAAACAACACATGTACACTGAGCAGAAATGAAAATTTGCATATTAAGAAATCTTACTAAAATTTTAAAAGATGTCTTCCAATTACTTGAAAGTTTTCCCACCAGTATAAATATCATTTTAGGAACATGAAACACTAAATCTTATCTCCGCTTTAGAGTCTCTCAGCTGTTCTTAGTGTATAATTCAAAGTTTGTAATGTGTTCCCGGATCAAAGACAAGTGAAGAGAAGCTAGCTAACAAAAGGCCTGAATTAATCATTAATTAATCATTTAAAAAGTTCACACTGCAGGGCTCACAGCCTGCTCTGAATAAGAGATGAGCTGAAGTGCTCCCAGAGGGATAGTACATAAATGCTGAACAGTGGAAGAGGTGGTTGATCTCATTTGCCAGAAGTTTGACTCTCTTCAAAGCAAGATGTACCTTTTAGGCTCACACTGACTTAATACAAACTAACCAAGAATTAGAAACACAACAAGTAACTCATTCATTGGACAGGTTTGTGCACCGAAGAGTCTGCATCATCATGCTTGCATACAGCTGAGTGTCACTTGAAGTGTTTCAATGCAAGTGCCAATATAACTTTGGTAATGACACCACAACAATACTTTTATCGATATCATGAACCTGATGTCAGACCCAATAGCCTTTCAAGACCTTTGGCTAAATAAAGCACTTTAAAAATATTATTCAAATGGTGAAATGTCAAAAAACTGAATATGTGAAACATTTGATGATGTTGTACATGTTGTATAACACAATACCTAGCCATAATCAAACACACGCATCAAGTTAAAATGAATTTAAGTCATCGAATGATCACAAACAACTGAACCTCATCTTTATAAATATTAACAGACAGGAAAAGATTGATAATGTTTCACTTACTCCATAAAATATACAGAGCACAATAAAGCAACAAAAGACTTTTTAAACCTCAAACTCCTGTGTCAATGACTGCAGATGTTTCATGACATAATGTGTTTAGTTAAGCGTTGAATTCAAATTTGTTTGTATAAGTGAAACATATCCACTACCACATAGCTTGTGGCTTGTCTCCTTTGCATTCTCCAACCATTACATTTAGACAGGCCTAGTATGACTAATTATGACTTTAATCTTCATGAATAAATAAAGTAGAATGTCTAGACCCCCAGATATGCCTATCACAGCCAAGTAACACAAATGTACAGAGAGTGCACTGGTGTTTTTCCTGGTAATGTTACAGAAACATATTCAGAGCTAAGGCAGTAAAATATACAAAAGAAGTGGGACATTTATGATCCCATATTGTTATTTTAGTATCAACTAATTGTGCAATGTTCACATGATGGTGACGATACTTTCAGCCTGACAATTTGCTTGTTTTTACTGGCAGGATCTGATGGAGTCAAATGTGACTAGCAACATTTTTGTGATGACATACTGTACATGTCACACGGAAACCCGCTACTGTTTTTTTTCTTTTTTTTTTTTGTTTCCTGTTAGATATGAATCAAAAGATATGAATCATCAATCACAATATGAATAATGAACCACTTTTTTAGTGGTTCATCAATCACAATATGAATATTGAAACACTGTATTAGTGCCAACTCACAGAGAAGCCATTGTGCGGGAGTGTCATTGATTTTGAACATGCACTGCCAATCAAAGTCAACCACAATGTGACTTGAAGACGTAGACTTTACATGGTCGGTTAAGTTCAAAGTGTGTACTCATTATCTGCATATGTGAACAAGCACAGTAACGTTAGACTCAAAAGTCTGTAAGTTAGGCAGATTAGTTGGTAAACATAGATACCAGCACTTTATTCTAGGGGCCCATAGTTTCCAAATAAATTCAAATTGTTTCCTGGATACAAGTCTGTAACTTGGTACCACTTAAAGGGAAGATGGAGACAAAGTTCAATGGGAATCATTAATCAATTGGCCTATTAACTGCCAATGTAACCCAGTCATTTAGTCAGTGCAAAGCAAGTCAGTTGATGCCAACACTGCTTGCTGCCACAAGTTCATCACCTCCTGTGCATGTAAGGGTAGAAACACAAGCAATCTTTGTAAACATCTAGCAAAACTGCATCACATACAGGCAGTAAATGCGCCATTTTGACTGCCTACCTCGTAGTTCATTTCCCATTACCCCATCCACCTTAGGTTTGTTGTAGTCTATAATAGTAATTCATTCAGGTTGCTGAGTTTCCTACTGTTTTTTCCCTGTTAAAGGGTTTTTTGGGGAGGAGTTTTTCCTTATTCACTGTGAGGGTCCAAGGATAGAGGGATGTCGTATGCTGTAAAGCCCTCTGAAGTCAACTGTGATTTGTGGACTTTATAAATAAAACTGAAAATTGAATTTAAAATCTAAACAATGCTCTACCAGAATGTTAATTTATATACTGTACAAACATACATAGAAAATGAAGCAATGTTCTTATTTCTTTAAAAAAAAGTCTCTTAAAAAACCCCAAAAGTAAAAACAAAAAGTACACTAAGTTAATAAAATAACACATTGTTTACCTCTACAATAGTAAGAGTGTTTAGACATCCATCAATAGTTACACCGCAGTGCTTTAAGTACTTTCACTTACATGGTTTACTTTTCATGCATATACTGGTTAAGTGTTCCTGCATCCCGTTTGACTGACAGCAGATATCAGCTCTTCAATAACTCCTGTCTTCTTGAGCTAACACATCTCAACAGCAGCCTCATCTGAAAGCCACAGTCCAGCATAAAGAGGCTGTGTGAACTTGGTCTGGACTGTGTGGAGGAGAGTCATGGTTTCAGAGACGCTGTAGAAGGACAGAATACCTGCACTGTGATCCAGGTACACTCCTATTCTGGAGGTCCCCTCCTGTTGAATGCGAGTTTTTTTGTTGTTATGCTTGAATTGACAGCTATTTTGGCAACAATCTAATGCCCAAGACTTGTCATTAGATCCAAATAGGCAATCACTGAGGTGTCCTGCTCTGCTGATATCCTTGTATGCAACTGCTATAAAAAGTCCTCTCCCGCTCCGCTCCATCTCCCAGTAACAACGCCCAGTCAGACTCTCTTTACTCAGGACCTGCCAGCACCCTTCAAACCTTTCTGGATGAGAAGAATATTCCTGTTCTTTCTGCACGAAAGTTACCTTTCTGTTCCCCTTGGATAGTGACAGATGTGCGTTTGTAGTGTTTGGATCCAGAGTTACTTGGCGTGTGTACTGTAAGAAGTCAGATCTGGTCGTGGGCTCTGCCTGTTGATTTGATGGTAAAACATCCACTTCATTTACCGTCCTTGAGATCTTTGCGTATTCTTCACCAAGAACCTCCTGCAGTTTATATTTGGCCTCTGACAGAGCCACTGTAACCTTCTCAAAGTACCGCAGTCGGCGCACTTTGAGTTTGGGTGGGTCTTTAGATTCACTGAGACATGCCAAAGAGGGGTAACTTAATAGAAAATGAGTGTGATCCTCTGTTTGTGAGAGCTTCTCCAGCTCAGCATCTTTCCTCTTCAGCTCAGTGATCTCCTGCTCCAGCTTTTCCCGAACCTTTTTGAAACGACCCATTTCAGTCTTCTGCCGAGATTTAATCTTTTCCCTTACATCAGAGACTCTTCTCTCCATGATATGGATCAGTTCTGTGAAGGTCTTCTCAGTGTTTTTCAGCGCATTATCAGCAGAGTTTTTTACAGCATTTTCCTCATGATGGAACAAATCCACAGTTTTCTCTTTGTCCTGAATCCTCTGCTGGATTTTATGACGAGTCACCCAAAGTTCTCTCTGCCTCTCAGTCCTTTCTGCTGCAGCTGAGACTTTGTTATGGCCTTTATGGTCATCCTTCGAACAGAGGTAACAGATGCAACGCTGATCAGTACGGCAGAACAACTTCATCACCTCTTGATGACGAGAGCAGATGTTCTCCTGGAGCTTTGCACTTGCTTCCACCAGCTTGTGTTTCCTTAAGGGAGCTACATCATAGTGAGGCTGGAGGTGTTTCTCGCAATACGAAGCCAGACACTGAAGACAGGATTTGAAGGCTTTCAGTTTCCTTCCAGTGCAGACATCACAGGCCACATCTTCAGGTCCAGCATAGCAGTGATCGGCAGGAGCAGCTTGGACTGTAGTCTTCTTCAGCTCCTCCAACACAAATGCCAATATGTTGTTTTTCACCACAGCAGGCCTTGACTTGAAGATCTGCCTGCACTGAGGGCAGCTGTACATCCTCTGATGATCCTCTTGATCTAAGTGGTTCTTAATGCAGTTCATGCAGTAGCTGTGTCCACAGGGAATAGTCACTGGATCATTCAGTAGATCCAGACAGACTGAGCAGCAAAATCTTCCTTGATCAAGTTGAATCGCTTGTGCCATGTTGCTTTCTGACAAGAGCAGGTGTCTGATGACTGAAACATATGAAATGACTACAGGTCTTTCACTTTATCTAAATGTGTATGAGATGTGTAAGAGAGGGAGGGCTTTGCAGGCTTTGCCAGATTCCTGAAAGAGGAGTGGCTTTGAACAGGAAGACTTTTCCTGGTTCTCGTAATGTCTGACTATTCAGGTTTGAGATGTTGTGAAAACAGTGGGAACAATATTATATTGAGTCCTGAACATGAAAAACATGTTTTTTAAATAATGTATCAGATGGTCGTGGGTGTACGTATTAAACAAACAGTATTTTAGGTTATAAATTAGATAGAATTTGTCTGGGTTTGGGTGTAATTAATGTTAGAGTTAGGCTCTGGCAAGACAATTGTTAAATGACAGTGGTATTCAAACAATGAACAAAAAAAAACACCTAACATTCTGCCAACCTAATGTGCCGTAGCCCCAGGGAACGAAAGCAAACTGACAGGTCTGTCTATGTTCTTAGGCTGGCATTGACTGAGGGTATTGTTGGATGTTGGAAGGAATTTTGAGGAAGTCCTGAACAAAACTGACATACCCACGTGTGGAGGACAATGTCAGTAAAGTCAAAAGAAGCCCTGCCAATCACTCTGACCAAGGTCACAGTCCTAGCTGAAGAAACCCAGCTGGGGGTTGATAATATTCTTCCTGAGAAGCTGGCGGCTTCCGATATTGTCTGACTTTTCAATAAATGCATGAAGTTCTGGGTCTGTGCCCATGGACTCCTGGCTCCTATGTTCAAAACATGGAAGGTCAATTTATCAGAGCATCACACTGCAGCTTCCTCAGTAAATTTTACACCAGGCTGACAGACAGGTTAACCTCCCCTTCAAGAGAGTCACTGTAGGTGTCTGTGCTGGTCATGGAACAGTGGGCCAGTAACTGACTTGTGTAAGGATACAGGTGGGGTCATGAGTGTTACCCTTTGGTGTACATTTACTTGGTGGACTTGGGGAAGATGTTGGACTATGATATCCCATTCAGACCGTCACAGTAAGGTGGGTCAAACCCACATCACTGGTCTATCTAGGTCAACATATATCAGCCGACCCCCATTCATAACCCTCCTCCTGAACAGGCTTCTGAGCTTTGGTGAACTGGTATTAAAACCAGAAATGGACATTAAACCAATGATACCATACATCCACATAATCACATGTGCTGTCTGAAAGGGATATAACAGTGACTATCTTTACATGCACAAAATAATCTGACTTTTGCCCTATTTATTTTTCAAAGACAAAATCCCTACTAAGCTGTTGACATAGCTGATGAAAATGAATATTTCACTAATAATTTTCTTTACAAGCAGCCATGCATACTCTGATGAAAGCGAAGCAGCTGGAGCGACTTGTGTCATTGTGTGTCTTTGAATCAAGATAGGATTTTTTTCAATTTAAAGTTTTTCAAACCAGCAAGAGGCTGTTTTGCAAACTGCAGTAAAGACCCCAATGTAGATGCATTTATTTGAATACAATGTATACATGTCCAAAGAATGCTCCTAAAAATAAAAAAAAAAAGATCTACATATTAAACATGCCTTAATCAGAACATGCTACATTCGGATTAAGGCCTAATCTGGAATATCTAAACGGAATATGCTGTTCATGTGACCAGTGTCAAATTCAGAATATTGTCATATTCGGAGTAATAGTAAAATATCAGTATGCATTTAAACTTAAAGGCCAGCAAAAGCCTGTATCCACAGCGGTCCAGGTCTATCATGGTGAGAAATTCCTTTATCTCTCATGTAATTGAACTGCTAAATGCTCATAACGTTTAAAACATTTTGTTGGTGATGATGGTGATGTTATTTTAACCACTGATGGTTGGCTTGGTAAAGATGATGAATGGATGTACCACAGGTTTTAAGCTGTCACTTTATGAAGATTGTCTTATGCATTTTAAAGTCTCATGTTTCACCAGGTTGCAATTTTCCAAAGTAAATTGAAGGTTCCAAGATGGTAGCAGTAAAAAGCCAAACCCAGGAGCCTTTAAAATGTTCCACACAAAACCTACAGGTGACCTTACATCAATGCATCGATGTTTTTCTAGTCTGTGACTTAAAAATGTATACTAGTGTATTAATCGATGATAGCTGGTAAATCTCATGATATTAAAGTCCCCTCTGAGTAAACTAAACCTAATCCATAGTGTGAAACCTTGTAAGTCTTTGGTAACTGGGGAAACCCATTACTTTGAGCACTGTAACTGCTTTAATCAAAAGATATCAGCCTGACTGTGTACCAAGCAATGCGGATTAACAGGACTTAGAGTTGAAACACATCACAGGGAAGAAAACTGAGTCACTGTGTTACTGTGTGCATGTGTGTGTGTTTGTGTGTGCACTCGCATGCACAGATATGTTTGATGGAGAGAAAGGAAGCATTGTGTTGTTGGTTGTGTGTGTGATTGAGACGGTGCATGTGTGTTTGAGAGAAGGCCTTAAAATGAGAGAAGGGGAGTACTGTGTGCATGTGTTCAAAGTGTTACTGGTAAAAGTGCATACAGGTTTGAGAAGGAATGAGCAGTGTAGTGTCAGAATACAGTGTGTACGTGTGTGTGTGTGTGTGTGTGTGTGTGTGTGTGTGTGTGTGTGTGCACAGGGGAGTGTGTGTGTCATCCGGTCCCCCAATAGTGAACTAGGGACGACCCCCCACTGGGCCTGGATGTGAATACCACACATTTTCTCCATCCCACACCCTTCATTCCTTCCCATAATGCACTTCCTGACATCCCCCCACCCTATGAACGTGCGCCCACACACACACACACACACACACACACACAGAGAATATATTCCAGTAATAGCTTTGGCAGTGCCAGTGTGTCTGTGACGCTTCAGTCCCATCCTCAGCAGACAGTCTGATGCGTCTTACTGCGAAATGGACTTTAAATCCTTTGTGGTCGGACTCAATAACATCCATCCGTGGTTTGTTACCAAAAACAACTCAACTGGTGATGATTTATTAAATGTATGAAGACTAGAATCAACACATATCCTATGGAGGAAAATCAGAGTCGACAGTTTCCCTTTAAAAGAAAACCAAACCCTAACAGCACATATTGGACAAAAACAAAAACATCTAAATAAATAAATGAGTATTCTTGCCCGCAGGGCCCTTTCAGTGAAACAAAGATCACTGCCAGTTTTATAAGAAAAATTCTCTCTGTGTAAAACCAACACATACGTGCCCAAAGTTTTCTTAGTTTTGGTCTTTTGGCAAAGTTTAAAAAGAGATTTTACTCTGTGTCCTGGTTAAACTTCCCCAACATGTCAACAATGTGCCATCAGGCAGGGGTCCCACACATTTTAAAGGATAAAACTGGAAAACTTTTCCATGACCCAGGACCCATTATATATTTTCCAATGACCACTTACAATATGTGACACAAACAGAACTGTATAGTACACTTAACTCTAAAAGTTAAGGGTAATATTATGGGCAGTCCACAGACACGTAGCAGGAGAGCTCCCTGAGTGGGGGAGTGACAGCCGACAGTTTGGTTGGCTCACTGGTTAATTTGCTTGAAAAAACATAATGATTTGCACATAGGAACTACCACACTCTGCTTTCAGAGCAGTTAAAATGAAATCAAGTGTGCAATGGCGCTCTGAGTGATGGTTGAATTCCCTGGGCTGCCCATGCCAATTGCTTAATCTCAAAAATATGGTTCAATTTAAAATGTTTAGTGGGGCATAGGTATGGAAACTTTGGGATTCATGACCCTACATGTTAAATTTAAAAGTCACTATATTTCTGTTTTTTATGTTTTTTCTTGCCCCACTTGCCCCGCATTATTCAAACATATCAGATCCAAACTCCATTCAAACATCGTTCCAGCTAGCATACATGGAGGGACAGATGGAAGGCAGCGTGAAAATGAAAAAAAGTTATTAGGGCTACTTTATGTCAACAGCTACAGAAAATAGATAAGCTGTTATGTTACAGTACGTGGAAGGTTAACCATGGAAAATTACTGCTACAATTACTGTCATTACACATCAAAATTCCATGACTTGTCCAAAATTTCCAAGGATTTCACCAATTCACCAACAGTGTATGAACTATATCCCCTACCCACCATGGGGAGACCAGTTTAAAGTTAAAAGAAAAAGACACTACTCTCTACTTTACCCAAAAAGGAGACTTAGGTTTTATGCATCTATAATCAAGTCCAGCAAGAACATCCTGGACACCCAAGTGTATCAGCTATGAAAGAATAGTGAATACAAGCTTTTCACTTTGCAATTTCTATTAGGATTAGGACACACATTTTAACATAATGTAAATTTTACTCCTGTGTGTTTAATATATATATGGGAATAGAATCACAAGAGCATTCAGATCAATTTGGTTGAGCAAACTCAGAATTACAATCAGGTTAATTGCCAAGAAATGTTTTACATATGAGGAATTTGCCTTGGTGTTTTGGTGCATAACAATAAACATAGTAAAAGAAAAGTGTCAAGTGTTAAAAAATATTTAACGCCATATTAAAATTGCTGCATTAAAAGGTGAAGGAAAGTCAGTTTTACCTGGTGTTTGTGGAAAGAAGGCTCCAATCAGCTTGGATCGCTTCTTCTCATAGCCCTTCTGTGTGATATCACCTGCCAGAGACAACAGAGAGAGAGACATTTACTCTCTATGTTCTTTTATATAACTTTTAAATGTAAATTTGGCGCCTATAAAGTCATACAGAATAAAGCATGTCCATTGTTACAAATGCATGTTGTTTAATTGAACTGAGTTGAACTGAACTTTGTTTCAACGCTCATTAATATATTAAAGCTAGAATATCAAACCTAAGGCTATCAATTGTACAAAAAGATGCACAAGAAACAAACTTAAGGAAATAAATGACAAAGAAACACTGCAGCTGCCCTGAATGTATATATTCCACAAAGAGCTGCAATCTAAGACATCACAACACAAAACAGTCAGAGAGAAAGCTGATCGCATTATGCTTAGTCATTCTCTCCACTC